ATTCAAATAGTGCATTTATATATTCATTTAAGAAACAACAACCTAGAATCAGGAACCACCACCAGAGGGAGGGAAAGGAATGGCTTTCAAGGCTTGCAAAGCTCTCTTTATCTCTTCCACCTCAAAAAGGTGGATGTTGTGCTGTATGCTAGAAAGCAGAACTATTGTGCCTTCTGAATAAATATCACAGGGTGCCTTCATGTGGTTTCTGAAAGCTTTTTTTTTTTAATGGCCACTTCCAATAATATCCAATTCACTAATACACAAAACAGAGCCTCACTTCGTATCTGCCGACACGATTACCCTTTTCAGAAACATTTGAAATTCCATTTCTTGGCAAAAAAGAAGAAAAAGAAAATCACAAATGAACTATGGAATTGCAATCCTGGAATGCTCTGAAATAGCCAGCCAAGAAGTTGTAACAGAGGATTTTCAGGCCAATAGTTAAATCTATGTAATTCAGGGAAGAGAATGAATCGTCTCTCTCGACACAGACTCATGATGCTGTGATTGTCAAAATACACTTAGAACATAGACTGCAAAAGTTCAAACAACTAGCATGCATGCATCCGACTACAGGTGTAATCCCCCCCCCACCAATCCGCAGAGGCCAAAAAACCACTTGCAAAGTGCTCTGGGTGTAGAATGATGATAATGCTTATTAGTGATCTGAGCATAATGCAATATAAATGTTTACAGATCTTAGCTTTATCACTTTAGCCTGAAAACTGATGGGTGCAAACAACCTCTCTCCAAAAGGAAAGGGGAGTGAAGGCTGGAATGCAGGCCAGTCTGGAATCTGCCAAATCAGTGGAATAAATAAAGTGTATGAAGAGCTTCAGTTGATAGTTGCTGAGGGAAAGTATGTATGGCACCTTGAGCTCTTTGGGGAAATGGCGGGATAAAAATGTAGCAATGAATGAATGAATTTCTCCACATCATACATAATTGTATGAACCTTTATCATGTCCCATTCATTCTACCTCTCCACCCCTCTTGTCCTCCCCACCCAAGCTAGAAAGTCTTTCCCAGTAGAGTTGCCATCTCTATCCCTCTGATTATTGTTTTGTTAAATCACTAGATATTTAAATACGTACTGATTTTGTATAATTATTTTTAACCTATGATGAATTCCTGCCCACTCTGAAAGCCAGGCAGTGAATTTGTCCATTAAAAATGGCTACTACTCCTGCTTTAACTATTCTTTGTTTTTTCTCCAAATTCAGATCACTGTGGAGACCAGATGTGCTGCATCTGATGAGCACTCTGTCAAAGTATTATACACAATACATAAACAGAGGAGAGAAGAGAGATGCACATAATGGAACACTCTCGGTTTTCTAAAAGAACAAAGAATAAAACACAGTGTCATAATCTTTCATATAACACTCCAGTAGTAATTGACCTTGTGCATTCTGCCTTTGATTTTTCTCCTGTGCCCAATCATCTTCTGTTGGCTAATACACAACACTCCTCTCCCCCATCTCGGGCCAGTCGGCTGCCGTGGATGGCTAACTGATGCAAGGGCTTCTCACTGCTGCCACTTAAGGAACACAGTTAACGCTGGATGCCTGACTCCATCCCACCCATGGCTCTGAATGGATGAGCTTTCTAAACACACTTGGCGTCTGCCAGCCTAGAAGCCTGAGTTCATCTTTCTGCCCAGCATTTCTTTCATGTAAAATATTCAGCAACCCAAGGCATTATATATGCAGATCTATAAGAAAACAGATGAGATAATGCAGGACAGTGACTGTCACTGAAAGGTGTTATGTTTCATAGCAGATCCCAGATAAATACTTAAAACGAGAGCAAAGTGCAAAGATAGCATATAATGTACACACTCTGTATTGGTAACACAATTTAGAAAAATAAACAAGGAAATGTTATGATGGACTGGCTGGGCAAGAAGTGGGGAAAGCATACTATTCCTATAATGTTGTACTGCCTGTAATTCTGGCTATCTTACATGACATCAGTATTTGACAAGAGCTCTAGACAACACTGATTGCTACCCCAGCATTTTCCCCCATGGAAAATGGCTTCCTTAGGAGTCATTGTTTTTTTACCTTGCTTTGGTATTTCCAAGACTTTATTTGTAATGGGTTAAAACGCCCTTTAGTTAAAATCTCGACTTGTCAGAAGCAGGAAAATAAAATAAAATCCATGCTTTCCTTCCACGCAGCTTTCACCTTCAGATATGACTAATGCAGCTTTGCTTTAACTGGCAAAGAAGAGCAGGCAACCCTATGAATCAGGCACTATTCTAAACAGTGCTGGGTATTTCTAAAGTAAAAGTACCACTACACCATGAATGACTCAATCATTTTCCTGAGAGTTATTACTTGCAGCGATGAAGCAATGTTAATTGGATAATGGCCTTCTGCCAGCTAATATTGGCATGACCTACAATACCCTTGGCTGACAGCCCTGGATGTCTCTCTATCACACTTCTTCTTTTTTTTGTAATCTAGATGGGAAGTGGAAACCATTAAAAAAATATTCCCAAGTGCTATTTAACTTCTTATCATGAATTAAAAGCTTAATTAAATGCCTTGTTAAAAGGAAGGAAGACTGATTTCTATGATTAAATAAAGCAAAAACACAACAACAACAGGAATATGGATCAAATCAATTCTACCGAATTAATATGTTTCTTGGGAAATAATTTATTCGGTTTGAATTTTTAACAAGAGTCATTATGGAAAGTGCACAGAGAGGAGGATCCCTCCTGCTGCTCCATAGGCGGGTGGGTGTCATGAGGCCTGAGTGGGTTTCCCCCTCCAAATGAATGGTACTAAGTCATAGACTAAAACTCAAACCCACCATGACAGCAAATACTGTATAACCAAGATGAATTAACCTTGTGCTTTCATGTCAGCACGAGGATGAAACCCTACACCTGCTTAATTGGGGGTCTGGTCCCACCAAACTCAGCAGAGCTTGCTTCTGAAGACATCCCAAGGATGTCTAGTGTTTTAGTGGTCATACTGGCTGGGGTTGATGCGAGTTCGAGTCCAGCAACATCTACAGGAAGCCATGTTGGTTACCCCAGGTATGAAGAATATTTGCTCTGTTGCTTTGGAGTTTTATTACTTTGAAGTTTTCTTCATCTGTATAATTTACTCCAGTTGCAATATTTTATTTTATTATCTTATTTTATTATTACATTTATACCACATCTCTCTTCCAAGGAGCACAAGGTGGACATAGGAACTGCCTTATAATGAGTTCATCCATGTAGCTCAGTATTGCCTACTGTCAGGGACTGGGAAGAGGAGGAATGGTGGAGACCACCTCCCCAGCCTGACCCTTCCGGGGAGGAGGAAGAGGAAGACAGTACAGTGGTACCTCGGGATGCGAACGGGATCCATTCCGGACCCCTTCCGCGCATGCGCATGACATCATTTTGAGCGCCTGCGCATGCGCGAGCAACAAAACCCGGAAGTAACGCGCTCCGTTACTTCCGGGTTGCCGTGGAGCGCAACCCGAAAGCACTCAACCTGAAGCACATTCAACTCGAGGTATGACTATACGGATTTACAACAGGGGTTTGCAGGAGGGGATGGGAGAGGAGGAAGAAGTGGGGTGACAGCTGACGGACACAGTGTCTCCCTGCCTTCTTTGCCTTCTTCTATAGAGGGGGTCCTTTCTCGGAGCAAGGCATTCTGGGTGAGGTGGCATTGGGAGTGTTCCCGTGCCTCTGATCCTTTTCTATGGCAGCTAGAAATTTTCTTTTAAAAGTGAAAGCTAGTAAAGTTACTTTATTAAATTTAAACTTTTAAAAAAAGTTTTCTAACGGTAACTGCAAAGGTAGAGACACTTCACCTAGGATGCCTTTCCCTGAGGCACAAATTCCTTCCTCAAAGTCAGGAATGGCGATACTGTGAGTTCATAGGGGCTGAATAGGTGGACTAGCAGGTGAGGCAAGTGAATGGGGGGCGGGGCGGGGATAATAAGCCTCCCCCACTAACCCTGCCATTGGATACAGTTTGTTCAGTTTATCTCATGGAAACATCAGCCTTGTTCTGGTATTACAATTTTATACAGATGGACACTTGTATAACGTGAGATTCTGCTGCACAGTTATCTTTTCCTGGTCTAATGCAAACAGTAAAAGCTGAAGTGTCTTGGAAGTACATTTACTGGTTCAAAAAAGATTCCTGCGTTACGATTCCACATTATAAAATGTGCATTTAAGTGACAGTAATATCAGAAGCAATTTGCATGCTGCAATGAAGAGGACTAGAAATATCTTTCAAACTTCTACAAGTCGCTTGATTGTATAAGGTACTCGTAGTGCAGTGAAACTACAGTGAGTTTGCCGTTTTGGATTTTACATTTCTCGCTATAGTGAAGTTCTTTTGAGATATTAGAAAGCTGTCTTCTATGTGCTGGAAATAGGCTTTTTCAATTATTCTTAAGTGTCACACAACCACTTGTAACGCAGCAAAAAAGTCCCAGTGACCCTGTTTCGACCCTGACAATGTTGTGAGCTTGGGAGAATACCTGCTTGGGAGACATACTCTGTTCTCTTAGTCACTTTCTATTATGCATTCCCTGTTTCTGCAATGGCTCATTCTACAACCTACAGATAAGTATTCCAGATCATTTTCCAGCTCTTGTTTCAGCAGCAGATTAATGGAGTTCATGAGGCTACGTTTGTATGATCCCTCCCTGTTTCTGCTCTTCCTTCTTCCCTGCCTGCTGCCTTGTTCTTGCCTGGTAAGCTCCTTTGTTCTCTTGTTTCTAGCTCAGAAGACCACAGGGAGTCGGATTCTGAATCATTTACTGCCCTCACTCCTGGGACTAAAACACACACAGTCAAATCTGAAAACATGAAGGGGCTCTGAGCTCAGTGTTGTTGTTGTTTGTTTTAAAAAAAACCTTTCAGGTTTAGCCAATTCCTAACTGTAAGAGAGTGGCTTATTCTCTGTCTCTGTTACCATGTTATAAAGTTTTGCTTTTTTAAGGGACGTAGGAATGTTGACATACTATACCTCCTCTGGCAGGCTGACCACCAGATCATTTTCTGTCTGCCCGACCAACACCTGCAAGAAGTATTCGCTGCATGCAGCCAGCACAGCCCGGTGGGCTCGGAACTCTTTCCCCTCCACAATCAAAGTCACATCACAGAGAATATCCTGCTTCCGCTGGTCATTGAGGCACAGGAGGATATTGGTACAATGGACTGTTGACTCATACACATACATGGGGGATTCAGTCTTCTCATCCACAGACATTCCGTTCACACCCTAAAATAGAAACAACAAACAATAAGGGAGAGAGATAGGGCTGGAGAGATTTGTCAAAGTGCTTGCTAAGAAAGGAAGATTACATCATGATTTCTGCGTCCTGCATGGGCTAGCCAGCTCTCTGCAGAACTGCTGATCAGCACTTTGATTCTTAGCTGGAACAAAGAGCTCAAGAAATATATATATATATTTCTCTGAAATGTATCTCTGAAAAGACAATTGCATTATAAGCTTTTTACTCTATCCACTTAGTTGGTTCTTTCTCCCTCCCACAACATTGAATCAGGAATATGGAATAATGTCTTGAAATGTTGAAGGCTATCAACCAACAGTTTTAATAGACAGGAGGCTCCTGGGAAAGGGTGGGGAGAGAAAGGGAAGCACAAATAAAAACAAACATTTGTGAGCATCTTCTGGCAGAGAAAAGCAATTCAACCCAGAGCTCTTTCATATTAGAACTATGGTGTCACACTGGAGCTTACCGGCACAATTCAGAATAAGTTATCACAACCCAACATTTCACAGAAATCTCTGTGTAAAATTCCCACTGCTTGTACACAGAATATTTATCAGCATCAAAAAGAATGGGGCAGTGGGATTCACTCTGTATGTACACTTGACCTGTAGGATCAATGTGTTTGTGTGTCTTCAGAACAGGACCCAGAGGAAGCTTTATACCAAATCATACCACTGGTTAATCTAGTCGAGTATTGTCTACTGACCAGCAGTGGGCTCTCCCAGAGTATTAGGCAGGAGTGCTTCCAAGCTCTATCTCGAGATGCTAGGGATTGATCCTGAAACCTTCTGCATACAGTGCACATGCTCTATCCACACTTGTAAATGATCTGAGAACACCTTGCACCTCAATAAACTGGCTTGGAAACAGATATCCTGCTGGTACTGTGACCATGCTCTCTTGATAAAAGTTAGCATTAAAATAAAACTTTCCCCTGAGTGTTCAAATCATTCTCTACAGAGAGATCTGCACTAGTTGCCGATTTGCTAGTGGGCCAAGTTCAAGGTGATACTATTGGTATATAAAGCTCTTAACAGCTTAGGACCAGTTTACTTGTGGGATCGCCTTACCCCACATGTGTTCTTCTGCCAACCTAGCACTTCGAAAGCACGCCAGTGCAAGTAGACAAATAGGTACCGATGTTGTGGGAAGGTAAACGGTGTTTCTGTGCGCTCTGGTTTCCATCGCAGTGTTCTGTTGCGGATACCTTTCTTTCAGTGTGGGAGAACCTACACCTTGGAGCACACTGTTGACACCAGGCAGGCAACTTCACTGTGTTCTTTTTGGCGCCTGCTTGAAACTTTTTAGTTTAGGCAAGCTTAACAATACATGTTGATATGTTTTAATGTATTGTCGGTATACTGCTGGTTTTAATTGGTTTTTTTAAATGTTTTTAATTACTTGTTTTCCACTGCCGCAATGCTTTTCTGCAAGCACTTTGCCAAGTAAGTAACTATTCACAGTGACTTGCGTTTGATAGGTAGAAGCAAGCTTTGTTCCTCACCTGTAAGGTGCTTCACTTTATTGAATACAAAAGTAGCTACCATTCTCACCTCTAAGCAAGAATGTCAACAGAGCTGGCACTGCTTCAGGTGCCACATAAAACCTGTCCTGCATTTGTAAGAACTCAACACTTAGTATGGCAGTGCCTACACATTGGAACTTGCTGCCTACTGAGATCAAGCAGGACATAGAACCATAGAATCACAGAGTTGGAAGGGACCACGAGGCGCCCTGAGGTTAAGAGATTCATGCTCTGCCAACTGAGCTCCCGCAAGCCCTCTGCCTTCAATGTACTCTTTATCACACCTGCTAAACAAGCAGACAAGCCTACCCAGAGCCTTAGAAAGTTGGAAGTATTTTACATCTGTTTTAGAATTTAAACTTTTTAATGATTTAAAATATGGTTGTGAATTTTCTTTTATTTTACTGTTTTATCTTTTGTAAACCTCTTTGAGGTTGTTGTTTTTTTACAATCAAGCAGAGCACAAATTTTATGAAATAAATAAATAAGAAAGAAAGAAAGAGAAAAACTTTTAAAAATATTTTATTAAGTAGGACAAGATTTGGTGTGACAAAACATTTTAACACCAGCCCTCACCATGTAAAAGGTTCCACAAACATCAGAAGAAGAAATAAGGCAGATGAATTAGTGAGAGATTGCAGATGGATGCACAAGCGTCAGAAAATATACAAATATACAAAGAAGATAAAAGTTGCTTTTAAAAAAAAAGAATAATACCCAAAGCATTGTTGCATTTTGCAAAGGCAAAACAACAAAGGAAAGTATTTCAATTTCACCCCAACCTGGTCTGGGAGAAAAGGTCCGACTGACTAACTGGTCTAGATGGGTTAAAGGGGAAGCACAGCTCTGCCTACACAAAAAGGTATCAAGTGGACATGTAATGGGGAATGCAGTTTGGTCTATAGTTATGCAGACTGCCCTATTTGTCTCTATACTGATATTTAAAAAGGACAGAAGAACGCATTAATTAAGAAACAGAATGAGGCAACTATAAATTATTGCCTCTTCGCTCCCATTTTGATTCTTTCAAGTTTTCTGCTTCCTGGGTTGCTCTGAAAATATGAGACAAGTAGCATACATGAGATACCGTATTTTTCGCTCTATAACACGCACCTGACCATAACACGCACATTGTTTTTAGAGGAGGAAAACAAGGGAAAAAACATTCTGAATGAAACAGTGGATGTATCATTTTTGTGCTTCATGCTGTGGCCACAGACATGTGATCTGATGGTGAATTTGGGGTGACCCAATGCAAAGATTCTGAGGATCCATGTGGATCCATGCTTTTTAACCACGTTTTTGCACCATTGCAGCCCCAGGCAACAGTGGGTGCGTGATTTTTTGGGGGTAGGCTGTAGCCATGGACATGCTATGTGATCTGATGGTGAATTTGGGGTGACCCAATGCAAAGATCCTGAGGATCCATGTGGATCTATGCTTTGTAACCACATTTTAAGTGGGGAGGGAAGGAAAAACAAAGAAGGGAAAAGGAGCATGAGAGGGGTGTGCAGAGAAGCAGCTGGCTAAGAATGCAGGAGAGGGTTTTAACGGGAGGGAGGAAAGAAAGGCAAAAGTTTTCCCCCACCCAAGCACCCAAACCAGCCAGCTCTCTCTCTCTCTCTCTCTCTCTCTCTCTCTCTCTCTCTCTCTCTCTCCCCCCCCCACCCCTGCATGTTGCCTGCTAGTCCCTAGACGCAGCACCGGAGCACAGAGAGGAATTAGAAGGAAGGACTCTGCTTTCCCCTCTGCTTGCCTGGAGGGGAGGGGCTTTCCCTGCTCTTTGTTCCGTTTGAGCAAACACAGCAAGGAAACAGAGGAGGGTGGGCAGTAAGACCCTGAGGCAGAATGCAGGAAAGCAGCCACTTCCTCTTTTCAGGTTTCCCTTCTCCGTGACTTGCGATTTGATTTTTGTCTGATTTTTTGGCTCCAGGGACCACACATTCGCTCCATAACACGCACAGACATTTCCCCTTCCTTTTTAGGAGAAAAAATCTGTGTGTTATAGAGGGAAAAATACGGTAAATAAGCAGAGGTGGTTTTAGGGTAGCGCCGCTGGTTCAGGTGCACTGGGCACCAGCACCACAGGGGGCGCCACAACAATAGTGTCGAACAGAACATGAGAGGCCGGGGAAGGGCGTCACACAGGGCGCCACTGAAATAAAAATAATCTTAAATGTGCTTTTCAGATAGGTTTGGGCTTCCATGTTATACAGTGGTACCTCGGGTTACAAACGCTTCGGGTTACAAATGCTTCAGGTTACAGACTCTGCTAACCGAGAAATAGTACCTCAGGTTAAGAACTTTGCTTCAGGATGAGAACAGAAATCATGTGGCGGCAGCAGGAGGCCCCATTAGCTAAAGTGGTACCTCAGGTTAAGAACAGTTTCAGGTTAGGAATGGACCTCCAGAACGAATTAAGTTCTTAACCCGAGGTACCACTGTATATAACCAGCCACAGAAGTAAATGGTATAATTCAAATAGGGTGGTGAAAGTGATTAGCAGATTGGCTAGATGAGAAGAGACTGCAAAAGACGATGCTCTAAGAAGAACATAAATAAGAGGTGACATCACTTTGCAACACTAATGAAGGGCAAGAGAGATTAAATTAATGCCCTCCTTTCAATGAATGAAAAATTGTATTTCCTTCCCCTCCTGCTCACCTTTGAAGGAGATTCTGTCTGGGAGACAAATGTAGAGACTGAGCATGTGAATTACCGCCAAAGGCTTCCCAGCCCTCTGGCAACTGTCCACATTCACTTGCCTTTCATTTTAATCCCTGGAGGCGCTATCTCTGAAGCAAAGTGGAAGGAAAAGATGAGATTGCCACCTTCTGTCTCCCCCTCCCCAGCTTTGGGGAAAGAGCAGGGTGATACCTGATACTTTAGAGCACAAAATCCAAATAAGGCCATACCTCTCCCAAGACTGGAACTCAAGTGTGAGGCAGTGTCCCATTTAACTCCATTGCATAGTCTATTCTGAGACTGTTAGCGAGAAAAGACTTGCCCATCTACTGAGCTCTGCGTATTAGTGAACATAAGGCAGGACTGGGGCAGTGACAATCACAAATAATGGTTGGCTACTAAGAGAAGTCAAATTGTTCAGATTCCTGGTTGCAGGAGAAGTTGTATAATGGCTGCCATGGCTGTAATCTCATCAAGGATGAAGGATAAAATTTACACCACATAATATGGGCAGAAGCAGAGCCCACTGGTGGGGCCAACTCTTACACTGCTGCTCTCTCATGAGTGCTAGGGCAGCCTGAGGCATCCATTCAGGTGACATACAGTGCCCTGGAACAATCACTGACATAGCATTGATATGGGATATGGTGTAGTATTGAAAACCCACTTCATGGACAGGTATTAGGGGTGGGACCTGCCAAGGTGCTGGGTGCCTGGCAGCTGCCTAGTAGTGCCAAGTTGCTAACTCTGGCCTTAGTCAGGACTTCACATCAG